AGGAAGGAAGGAAGGAAGGAAGGAAGGAAGGAAGGAAGGAAGGAAGGAAGGAAGGAAGGAAGGAAGGAAGGAAGGAAGGAAGGAAGGAAGGAAGGGAGAGGTCACTTTACAGTCAGCATTGGTCAGGTTTACTCTCAGAGTGAACCAACACAAAAGGTTGCATGTATACACCATCATGTGGGTATGAGTTCACACATCACATTTTGGAGAACCAGGCATTAACACAAACTGTTCTAGTTTTCTTGACTGACGGGCAATACTGCACATTATGYGATGTTTTCTTGTAAGAATTTTTTTATTCAGAATAGAATAAGTGTTTTAGATCACTTACGCACTTATGCACAAAACTGTTGCAGTTTCCAACAGTGTTTTGTAAGAGTTTTCTTTTTGTATTGATATTGATGTTTAAGATTAGTTCCATTTTTTCTTCCCCAATTAACTTTTCCAAGACAATAATATATTTGAGTCAAACATAATACTTCCCCTCAGGGCATCAGAAGCTTAATCTGTCCAATTTCCTTTCAATGGATATTGAAAACAAAGCACCGCATTGCAACTCAGTGGGGAATTAAGTACTAGGTGACGTAAAAAGAAATGCAAAGAGCACTGTGAAAAATAAATTCAACATTGCAAGCAATAAAAACTCTGTAACCAAAAATCTTTTAAACCACCTTGTTAGCACTTGTTAGAAGTGTTAGAATACTGTTAGTGTTAAAAATTTGTGTGTTTTTCAAAGGAGGTTAAAACACCAAATTTATACAAAATTGAGGCTTTTTCTTTTTACAATAGCCCACTGTCTGATTGCCATTAAATCATTTGGAATATCCTAGACAATGTGAGGGCTTTCCATTCACTTTATGCAGCAGTATTGCTTGTGACTCAAAATAATKTCTCTTTAACTTTGATCATTGTACAAAGATGCGGTTCTTCTCAGAACTCTTATTTTTCTGATATCTTAAATATAGAAATCAATATTGACTAGCATAGACTAGCATTACAAGATTATGATAAATCGTCACATTGTAAACAACTTTTTGGATTTATTTTATTTGGAAGCCTTATCTTTAAAAATAACTGGAAGCTTTTGGACTCCAATCAACAAATCTATAAGATTTATTTATATAATTGCAGGTCTTTATTTCTAAAGAATTTAGATTCTAGAGAATTCCAGATAATTTAGTCAATTCTAGAGAATTTAATTCTAGACAACTTAATTCTAGAGGACTTAAACAAAAATTATAAATTTTTTGTGGAGTATTGCACACTATTAGTTTATTCTACCAGAAAAAAATATTTTGAGAATTTTTTTTGAAGACTGCTAACGGAGAGGTTGTCATACATGCTACTTAGTAATATCTAATAAATCTCATTTATAGACATGGTTCATAAATGAGCACAGATGTACATGTGTTGTATCATATGCACATACATATTATATATCTATTATCTACACAAAACATATCATAGGATGTCTTACAAGCGAATAGGCATTCTAGTGTAGATTTCAACTCCAGCTGCATCTCTTATGCAGAACTCAGAACAGTACTTACTGATGTGTAGAGGAAACCTTCTCCATTTAGGGCTATATACAACCCAGTCTTTACACCTTGGATAGCAACAACTCGAAGTCCTACTGGTATAAGGTTGAATAATGCTGTGAAGAAAAAAAAAGGGTCCAGATATGAGCATATCATGGTTATTAAAATATCCTAATCAACAATATTAAGAGAAAAGGATGGCAGCTAATGCCTTCAGATTTTTTCTTTTTCTGATTTTAAAATTAGTTAATTCAGAAAGCCTTGCTACAAGTTAAGTTAGTACATTAAATATTATCATAGCATGGGGGTCTAGAAATAATTCCTGCAACATTTCATTATTGGGTACAACTAGCAACAACCACAAACCACAATACATTGAGCTGTAACAATTTATGTAGTACTATGTATACGTGAAGAGTCAGAGCCCAACATTTCCATCACTAGTATATATTGATCATAAAAACAACATTTGTGAGATACTCTAATCTCTTTCTCATTAAAGCATGTCATTTTTTTATTATTATTTTCTTAAACATTAGGGTATTATTAGACTAAGAAGTATTATCATTAAGATTGCTTTCAAGGAGTCTGTGATTTCAAAACTGAAAAAAGTATTTGTCTCTATTAATGAGATTTTTGCTTAAAACAGTAGTACACAAGTCTCAGGTAATTGCAGAATAGGTAACTGTTCAGAAAACTGCTAAAACAAATGCTTGGCTATAAATGTGCATAATCAGACTGAGCTGAATTCAGAACATGTTCTATGATTGATATTCTGATTTTTTTTTTTTTTTATGGAAAAAGAAATGCTAATAGCAGATACCCTAGTAATGATATCCACATTTTTAACAACAAGAAGATAGCTTTGATTACTGACTGAAAAGAGATGAGTGAAGAGGAAGCACCTTACCAACCTTGTATCAGAACAGCAAAATAAAAAGTGATACCTATAGAAATGTTGCGGCAAAGCAATTCCTCAATAATGGCAAAAGGAGCAAGTGGATTTAGAAGTCTGTTCCCTACAGTTGTGCCCTACAAGAACATGAAGTTATATTTTTGAGTGAAAGCTAGAGCTAGATGTACAGATAGAAGATGAGAAGATTCCTCAAAAAAAGCCTTTAGAAAAGCCCAATTTGCCCACTGCATTTATTGGAAATACTAGTGCTAAGAAAATGCATCAGAAACCAATTCTTCTAAAAATTATGCCAGCAAGCACATCTGTATTAAGTTTGCTGACTCATATTAAAAATCAGATGCAAACCACACATCAAATAGTCTCTGTAAAAGAGAAAGCTCTGGATGTGCTAGGGCTCATGCTAAGCAGCTTTTACACTGCAGATGATTCACAAGTCCTTGGATGAAAACCAGAAGCGCAACCTGTGGTTCAGCATAGGCATAAAAGATCATACTCCCATCAAGACAAGTCTTAGGAACACTGTAAAATCTAGTGAGTTGCTCAAAATCTAGAAAGAGCAGCACTAAGTGTGACCAGATAGCATTTTGGTGTATACTTTCTGTGATTAGATTGTCAGAAATAAATCCTAAGAAAAAAGTGAAATATATTTTCAGGGGAAAAGTAGGTACCCTCTTAAGGTGTAAAAACTCCCGGTTGATCAAAAATGCAGATAGTTAATGCTAAGGCTGAACAAATCTTCACATTTGAAAAAGTAATATATTTTGACTGCTAGAACCAAAGAAGACCAAAAAAAAACCCCTTTCCTTCAACAGAAGCATTATCTGGAATATTCTCATGCAGAAAATGAATAAGATAAGATTATAAGATCTCTTTAGGAAGTTATAAAGCCCGTGTAAAGCTAAGAGTCATAGCAAGGTACTTCCTACAGCTGTAGAAGGAAAAAATACCTTAAAATAGCTCTAGAAGAACAGAAGTAGTAGTTATGGATTTACATAAGAGAACAGAAGCAGTGATTTCAGACAAGAACTAGCACAAATACATAATATTTTTATTTGTGCAGTTTTCAAGTCTCAGCCATATTAGTACTTAATTGGCTGGTCATTGTGGAAAAAAAAAAAAAACCCTTACTAAAGTTATGAAAGAGATTTCCTCTATAATCTATACTAGAATCCAGGGAAATATTGAAGCTCTGGACAAGATATCTTTGCAATATATAACTTATAAAGTGCATGATTTGAGGGTTTTCAAATGTACAGCATAGTTTGGAAGTTTTAAAATAATAAGCATTACCCTCAACTGATATAAGGCTGAAGACAGTAAAACCACCTGGGTTGGTGAAAGGAAAGGGAGGGACAGTCTGCAACAGACAAATTATGTTTCATGTAGAGTTGGCCATCCARACTTATTATTAAGGTAAAAAGGACCAAGAAGAAATGGAAGAAAAATGAACAAGTAGGAAGTTAATTTTGCTTTCTCTTCAAGAAGACCAAAAGAGAAAAAAAATCCCAGGGGAAATCTGGATATGAAAACTGTACTAGTGGAATCACAGCAACTATGCCTTGCGCTACACTGAAATTTATTGGGGGAGACCAGAAAGGAAGACAAGCAATATTTTTATAAGAAAAAAGGTGAACACAAACATGAGTCATCCATAGAAAACTGCTAAATGAAAAACAACTGCAAAACATAACGATCCAGTCCAAACTTCTGGATAGTTGATTCCATTTAATATATTACCAATAAAAAAGCCAGCAACTACTGAAGGAGAACCACAGGCCTTTAATYTGACTTTGTTTTATGCAAACTATAAAATTACTCAACTGGATTACAGTTACTGGTGGGTGAATTTAGAAACCACCGTAGAGGAGATATTATGCATATTTTACTGCTATCAAGTTTTAAGCAGAGATTGTCACAGCTGCTGTAATTAGTCCAAGACCATAAAATTTTAGAGTATGAGCCCAAATGATGGAATTCTGCATATGCAGAATATTCAGCATCTACTGCAAAATTTTTTAGATTTCAGTGAAACTATGGATGCTAGACTACATACAATTATTGATTCATAAATGCTTGACAAAGTGTGTGTTCCATATGGAGATCAGCAGAACATGCACCAATAACACACAGCAGGAGATTTCCATGGCTCAGAAGTTGGCCAAAGGAAAATCAATTTCCYCAGAACATGGCTGTGCAGTACTCTCCACTGAGCAATATTTCTATTCCCAATTATAAATTTCAAACCTTTGTAAAATTCAGTTGTGCTATCCCTTGTTCTGATAAGAATCTGCCTAAAAGAAGCACAAAGTTTTCCTGGTCTTCTTGCTCTATGAGCCTTAAAAAGACAAAGATATGCCCTTATCTAAATGGGGAGGTAAAAAACCCATGCTCCTAGCTCTTGTCTATCTCTAAGATAATCGTCCAGAACCAAAAATAAGTGGGGAATGAGGTCCCAGAAAGTCTTTATTTACCTAAGTCCAGAATGTCTTTATTTACCCAAGTCCATTTCAGTAAATCTACACAGATGAGCTGACAGACATCACTCTTGAACAGTTAAGAAAAGAAAATCTAAGAAAATAAAATTCTGTCTCTGTTCAATTCTCCCATGCTTCAAACTTGGTAAATTTAAAGCTAAATAAGCGATGGGAACAATGGAGAAAACAAGTCGTCCAATCAGCAAAATTATCTGATTAAGACCCTGTCTCTGAATCCGCTTATGAGAACAGCTTACAACAACAACTTACATACAAAAAAAAAAAAAAAAAAAAAAAAAAAAAAAAAAACAGAAATCTCATTGTTTTTCTCTTAAGAATTATGGAGTAGATTGTAGGTATAAATCTGAGTTGGATTCTGAACCCTCCAAAGGTCTGTAGCAAAGCCAAAGTTTTACTTCACTTTTTGGAAAGATAAATCATGTACTTGAGCAAAACACATACATGCAAAATCCTGTGTTTCTGTTTCTTTCTCTCACTTTTTTTTTTAAATATAAATACTATCACAATATAGTAACTTGAAATCTGAAAAGCCTGAAAACAATTAATTTGATATCCCTGGAAAAGTCTCTTTAGTTATAACTGATTTGTAGCTACAAGAAAACAGCCATTACTGATCAGTGTTTTTCTCAGTGTAACTCGCTAGAGACCAACTACTTAAGGCTTATATATGTTCTCTCTATGCACTGCCCTAGCATCAGTCAACACAATATCATACAGTATTGTTAAAGGCAACTACTTGTTTAATTTATTTCCATCTACAGGCCTCAAACAAAAATGATGACCTGATCAAATTTTAGAGGAGCAATGATGGTAAAGAGCTTTATATTCAAAGATAAGGCCAGCCATTTCTTATGGATCAACCTCCTTCCCCCTGACTGATGTTGCACAGGACACAGGACATGTTCAGTAGGGCTGAACATGGACTCCATTGACTTTGTAACATTGACAAAGATAAGCCACTGTGAGAAATGGGCTTGTCTAATTCCCAAATGTGAGGTAAATAAGTGATTAAATGTCTGTATAATTCTTAGAATACACACTGTAGTTCAAAAAAAAAAAAGTGGTAAAATCAAATCATGTATATTTCAGATTTCATTTTAGTACTCCAAATTTAACACTGTCGCAGGTTGTTGCAAATGTTGTTTTTTAATCTTCATATGCCTTATTTCTGTGTAATTATCCTTTACCTTAAAAGGATGCTGTGAAGATTTATTTTTTTATTAATATCTTCAAACTGAAATATTGTAGTGTCAGGTACTTTAGAAAGACTTTTAACTTTTAGCATTTGAGTAAGTTCTAGATTCAATTTGAAAGATATAAATAAGCTCTTCCAGCATTTATGAAAWGATGAAAATAAAGGAATGTTAAATACTATTATGATTTCTTCAGCATAAATTCTTCTAGGTATCAAGTGCCATAAAGGAAGTTAAGAATGTTGCTGCATAATTAAACAGGAAATGTGCATAGCAAAACCAAATCAAAGTTTCCTGGATAAGGTTAATTTTGGCATTACCTGCTTAAAAAAAAATGGCTAGAAAATGAAAAACATTTTCTTTGACCATTTTAAATGCAACTGTAATGTTATATTTTATGAGGGACATAAATAACAACACTTCAGTATTAAAATCAAGTTTATCACTGAATAAGGAAAATACAATTTCTGTGGAAGGTCTGAGGTATATTTTTAAATGAATAATGATAAAAAAGTAGTAGGGCTAAGTAATTCTAGGTTTCGGTCTCCAAAACTAAAGAATTTGAAAAGCCTATATTCCAAACTAGATTACTTTTCCTACTAAAACCGCCTTTCATTCACCACATCAAAAGCTGAAGAGAGTCCAAAGTCCAATAAGGAGACATTTTGGGTGGGAGGAGGGCAGAAGGGCAGTACCACAAGCACAGCATGAAAATCCCTTCCATTTTTTTCATAGGTTCTGTGYAGAAGGTCATTTTTCCAAATTAATAATGTCTAGGCCTATGGAAAAAACAAATGCTAACAGCTATACTCTGAAGCAAGTTCTGTTTTCACCAAATAATGCTGAGAAATTCTGTGAAATCCAGGAAAATAGAAGCTAGAGAGGAATATCTATGCTAAGTAGGACCATAATAATGAAGCCCACAATTCTAGCCATGATTGCCCCTGACTACACTACAAGAAAATCACAAACAAGCAGCAAAAACTCTAAGGCATTATATGAAGTTGAGAGAGAAAAATGGCTAAAARTTAAAAAGTGATGTAAAAAACAACCCTCTTCTACATGTTACTGAAAGTCTAGCAAAAAAAAAAATCCAGACTGTGCACACAAGATAGTGCAAGCTAACATCTCAGCTCTGATTATGTGATTATGTGGAAACTCTGTACCATTAACCAACACCTGGATAAGTTCATACTCCATCACAAAATATTACTAACTTGTAAAAAATAAAAATGCTGGTAGCATGGCCGCTAACTTTGTATTTAAGCAGAAGAAAGTAGATTAAGGGATACAGTTACAAGCAATCATATACGATCTTTTTTTTTCCCCATATGCCTTTTTCATGTGAGGATTTGTGCACAATGATATATTTAAAATCTTTCTGCCTATATAAGCAGATCTTAGCCTTTACTCAAGTTTAAGGTAAACTGGGACAACTTACTGGGACAAATCGGGACAATTTACACATAACAGTTGACAAAAACGTACTATAAAATAATGCAGAATGTAATTTTGAGGACCTAGGGACTGTCAGTTCTATTGCATTGAAATCTCAATTTAAATAGAAGCAAAAAGACAACATTAAAGAGTCTACCAAGAAGCTTTAAAGACAAGCAAATAATAGATGTTAACAGAACTACTCAAACTGAACTGTCTCCAGTTTACTTGGACTTTGCACTACTCCTCTATAGTACCTCCTAAAAAAAAAAAAAAAAACAGTGGGCCATCCATATTTAGAGCTACATATAAAATCAGTACAAAAATGCTATCTGCAGTTCTTGATGAAATTTTATTTTAAACAGCCCTTGACACACATGGACATTATAAACTATAACAGCAGCAGAAAGTGATAGGTAGCGTCAAAGCTGCCTTATTGAAAACAAAAAATATCCCTCTCTTCCTCACTATGGAACTCACTCACTCAGGCTTCTCCAAGACACTTGGATGCTATGTTATGTGTGGAGGGCTCTTTCCCAGGCTCTAGGGACATCAGTAGTGCAGAGCCCATGTAGGAGACTGGCAGAGATGCATGTGCACGCTTTTCAACAGGCTCAATTTCCTGTGTTTTTATGAAACACAGTTCAAAACTCTTATAAAGAGCATGGAAGTAATCCTTGCTATCAAGGTAGGAGTGCTATCTCCCCTACTGACAGCTAATATATGTCCATCCCTTCCCACACTGTGTGCATTAAATAAACACTCTGCAAACTCAGTGGCCAGAAGATTTCTTCCTCCAAATATGAACCCAGCAGGAGGGCAAGGCTGAGACTGGRACTGCGCTTCTTCCTCTGTGGCTGCCAAAACTTATTTACCAGTAAGCCTCAGACATGAATTAACATGATAAGGAGCTCACAAAAGAAAAGCTCAAAGAACTAGAAATTCTATCCAAAGAGATTTTTAAAAGCAAAAGAGTAAAGTAAAACCAAAATATGGTTTAAAAAAAAAAAAAAAAAAAAGGAGGGGGGGGACAGAATAACCAAAAGTGTTAGGAAACATTTGGGAAAGTGGAAAGGTGAAAGAACTGGGCAGAAGGACTGACAGCAAAAAAGAAACAGACATGTATCATATACTCCTGAATATACCAAATATATAAATCTTAACATAACATTAACCTTTCTAATTCTTTATTGCAACTCTTGATATAGTGGTGATATTTACATGCTAGTAAAATGTAAGCTGGTGATAACATGCTTCCTGGCAAGCACATTGACTTTATACCATTACATGCTAGCCTTTCTCTATCAAGTAATACTAAAAACATGGAGTCATGAAGAAATAAACAGTCAAGCATACATTTTAAAGACAGAGAAAAAAAAAATCCCTTCAAAAAAAAAAAAAATAWAAAAGGTCATTTTAGTCTAAAAGCCATGAAGCCACGTACCCATATCAAAATAAAACATAGTATTAACAATGTACAACCAAAATGCAAGGTACTTTTATCTGGTATTCATGTGGCTTTTGATGATGTCTACATTTTAGAAGATTTAGAATAGTGAATATTCATTCTACATTTTGGAACAGCTGAGACGAATGAGAGGGGCAGACAGATGGAAACCCAGAAGAGCAAGGAAGGAGGAAAAGAAGAAAAAATAACCTAGTAAAAAGAAGATCACCAAAGTTGGTAACAATGAAAACAGGAAAATAAGGCATTCTTATGTAGTTTTGCAAAGATTCCAAATCTGTATTTAGAGTTACGAGATAAATATACAGAAATAAGCATTCCGATACTACTGCCAATACACACATCCTAACTGAAGCTGAAAATAAGAGAAAGACAGAATGAGAGAGTGGAGAAGAAGAAATATTCACACTCTCTAGCACAATTATTTCCCAGACCTCATATAGTCAAAGCTTCTATGAAAAGCAATAATGATGTGATTTGTACAAGGTCTTGGTATCTGTTTCAGTACAGCAATGTGCATACGCTAAGGAAAAAGAAAGATTTAAAAAAGAAAAAAACTAGGAACAGAACGGAAAAATAAAAAAGCACCTGCAAAAGCAGCAGAGCTAGAAATACGCATCTAAATAGATTAATTAATTAATTTTCTCAAATAAAAAGATAAAAGAGGATTCTGCTAYCTGTTGAAATACTTTAAAAATTATACCCATGCATTAATAGGGATAGGAACCTACTGAAATAAAAGCAGAAACGACAAATTCCTTAGTTTCTGTTGCCTAATTCCAATAATCTTGAAGAATTTAGAGGCTTATTTATATATGCATAGTAAGTAGATGAATGTTTCATACTCAATATGTTTAAAATAGTACTTAAGACCACATAGTAATATTTTGCATAAGTATCCCCAATTATAATTGAATTTAAAAGACAAATATTCTATCCTAAATGGAAAATTGAAAATCTACCATTTCTTAATTAMGAATAGGCTTTCTTAATCACCATTTGCAGCTTATGTTATCAAACATATACATGTTAACTAAATGAAAACATGTTCYATCACACAAAATGAAATACAGTAAAGCAGAAAACCACACTGACCCCTTAAGCGTTACACCATTTTTGTTTGGCATATTTTTCAGAACTGCCTAGAAAAGCAGTCCCTACACTTGCAGAAATCCTGTTAAAATAATTGGAACTTGCTGGTATATGGACTTTAGGATCAGTTTCTTCAGCCCCAATTCAGCAAGGCACTTAGGCATGTGCTTTTAGCAGGACTTAGTTAGGAATACCTTCCTTTTTTTTTTTTTTTCGCTTTGCTGAATCAGGATCTATGTTATCAGGTTTTCAAAGAATTTGGTTTTTTTCTTAATGTACTTATTTACAGATAAAAAAATTATTTTAGATAAAAAGTTTATGACAAGATTATCCAAAGTCTTAACATTTCTCTGAATGTCCCACCAGTGTGAGAGATCTTTCAGCACTTCTATCTTCATGTCCAGTAGCAAAACATTTAAATCAACATTCTACATGAGACATGCATGTGGTAATAAGATTTTAAAATGACAGAAACTTTTTCTTTTTTTTTTTTTTGACAAAATGCATTCCATTAAAATTGTGTCTGCATGTATATATGTGAATGAGTCAATCTCTGTTTGCCATTAATACATTCCCCTATAGCAGTCACTTACTAGAATTACTGCTGTCATCCTTGGTTCCATCGAGAGTTCCATCGGGGTGCATTTGCAAGTAGTAGCCTTGCCTGCAATATAACCTGGTCACTATACCCTTGAGCTGGGGATCTGAAAGACAAACATATTTTATCACTAGCCTCAAAACTTTTTCCAAGAGTTATTCCTCACARTAGCAGGAGGTGGGCTAAAACAGCATTGCTGTCTTAAAGTAGCATTAACAGGGTGAATCCTAATGGAAATGAAGGGGGAAAAAAATCTTCCTGCAAAATATTATTACTCCAGTTTTATGCCCTGTTTGCTGCCTAGAACAGCCTTCATTAAAATTAATATACGCAAAACCCAAAACAAAACARAAAACAARTACCATACATGGTTAAAAGATTTAAACTAGATTAGACCCTACAACAAATTTTAGACTGCATCAGCAAATACAGAGCCTTAAACAAACCAGAAAAACATGTAAAAAGCCTACTCGTATTTCAGTTACTTACTTAAGTTTTAATGATGCTTGCATGAATATGTCTCCTCCTTTTTTCTACCAAAAGTGGTAAGCTTATCTACTATAATACTTTGTAATAGTCCCATCTGGAGAGTTCCCAAAACACTTTACCAGTCAAGAGGCAGATATCACTCATGGACCTCTTCAATCCCACAGCGAACAACACTCACAATCAGGGCAAGACATAGCGCTTTTTAACCAGTRAAAATAACCAGAAAATACCTTAGTAAGCTAAAAGCAATCAGAAAATATAAGTCACTGAAAAGGTAACCAACTTTGTTTGATATTGTACACTTGGAAAAATTGCCAACAGTTGAGGAGAGCCTACAGAGCAWCAACTTCAAGATTTATCTCAAGGATGAGGCATAACTAAGCCTCATATTAACCAGCTGCAGAACAGGCTCAGTGCTAAGGGAAAGAACATCACATCCTAAAAAAATAAGTGTACTACTTGTGTAAAATAATGGTATTAATGCTGTTAGAAATCAACTATTGGGCCCAACTTTAGGTAAGCAGTGTGATAAACTATCAAATTGAAGGCATATGGCAGTAAATGAGTATCTTATGATATGCTTAGCTTCAGAATAATGAACTAATATTAAGAAATTGAGATAGATAATCAATAAAATTAACTTTTAAAACAGAAATTATTTGCATGGAAATACATCGCCAAAATACAAAACCCTTCCTTGAATTTGTGTATAATTGCTCTCACAATCAGTCATGCTGGGTTGCTTGTAAGTATCCTTAGGGAATGTGAAAATAATGACTTACAAATAAAGCTATCTCTAAACAGAATGTTTAAAAGTTTTCTGTAAGGACTTAGTTCTGTGAAATGGTTGGGAAATGATAAGTTTTTCTTGAATACTCATTATATTCCAAAAGAAATTGTCAGTTTGTTTTACCAAGTCATATTAAACCAATAAACCCATTTAAATTAAAAATGTAAGATSAGCAAATAAACTGTAAATATCATAGGAATTGTTGCAATAAATATTAACACTATAAAATTTTTGAGGCATGGAAATAATTAGTATAAATATTTGATGATATACATGTAAGCAAATTACATTTTTTTTTCTATTTTCTTTTTTTGCTATCTGCTGCAATTYTAGCCCTTCAGGAGTTTTTACATTAGCAAAAGATTCTCTATTTTTATATTATCTATTAAGAGAAACTCTCTTAAAATTTATAAATAGCATAAAATCTGAAAAGTGAGTTCCTCTTGCTTATATATATGCTTGCTTTACATATAAGTACATCTTAAAAGACTAAAGAAAGTAATTAAAGCAAATTTCATAAAACTATAGCTTTAAAAAGCATTTACAGTAAGAATATCAGCATTTTGAAAAACTCTTTCTACACCYAAACAGGTACAAAATCAGCTTTCATCTTCAAGGAAGTATCTCATAAGCAAGTCAACTACAGTTAGCTTACTATTACCAGCTACTCATTATTTGAAGGGRGTTATGAAAAATTTAGAAGTGCCTTTCACAGTTGTTCTTTACCATCCTTCTGATTTATCTATTTTAAAAATTAGCAAATAAAATCTACTTCTAACATTTTAACAAGAAATCATACAAACATTTGTCTTTGTTTTTGGCAGAAKTATTTAATTCTACATTACCTGATATCTATAATTATATTTGAATGAGAATAATTTGTTGGAGAGCTATGCATGAAGAAGTACAATTTCAGGTTACATAAGATGGGACAAGTTGTGAAAACATCATTTGTTTCGTTCAAATACAGTAAATTAAGAGCTATTTTACCATGATAGCAGGGGGCCTTAGTCATGTGTTTTAGTTCATTTGTAGAGAGTTTCAGCGGTTTCAAWTGTCAGAGAAGCGAACAAAATTGTCCCCAAGTATGTCCTTCTCTTGAAAGTTTCATTTAAAACTGGAACTTATCGATAATATCATAATACAAATCAATATTTCCATTGTGAAAAGTAGATCTCTATAGATTAATTTTTTTTTCCAATGAAATGCAGGAACTGTCATTTTCTGACTTTCTTTTTTTCTTGTGGATTATTAGAATCCCTTTTCCCCACCTTCTCATGAATGCCCTTTCTAATTTAAGACCCTACCAGCCCTTATGCAGATTAAAATTTTTATTCTTGGCAGGAAATATTTACTAATTCTAGATGGCTGTAGTTAATACATGCCATGGCACTTCAGATCTACAGATCAAAGTAGCAGATGAAYGGATTGCTTTAGCTAAATAGTGCTCAAAAAATGTGGAAAATTGATAATAAGATGTTTTTATCCTAGGCAAAAAACAACTCGAAGTCATTGATGGGATCGTAAAACAATTTGTTAACTCCAGCACATAGCAAACAGCAGCCAAAAGACTGCTCCATGCAGACTCAAAAGTAGACTATCTCATCAGATAAGAAATTTCTCTTTTATCCTTGGAGAAATATAAATGTTCTTTTCAGGTTCTTTCTGAGACACTTTGACAACAAGCAGTAAAGAGAAATCCTTTTTTATAATACTTTGGTTACTATACAGCAACTACAGTCTCTAGAAGAGTTTGTCGACCCACTGTCACTTCAGGATACTATAGAAACAGCCTCACCTTTAGAAGGTTTCCAAACAAGTTACTCAAATCCTGCTCAAGCACACACTTTACTTTTTTCTTGTCCTTTAGAAATAAGGAGCTAACAATAAAGCCTCAAAACAGCAACAAAAAAATTGATGCTGCCTGTTTGCAAGGAGTAGGAAATATGTGTTATGCTTGTAACTCTCCTCACAGYGATTCAAGATAAACCAATAACTACCCTTATCCTACACATCTCACCCATACTTTTTCCTTCCCACCATATCGAACACATATAAATGCATATAAATGAGAAAGGCAAGAGAATATAATCAAATAATAAAACAAATGAAACAGAATGAGAGTAGATAACCTTTAGCAAAAAAATCCCAGTTCTCACCATTTTAGTATAGATTTTATGATACTTGTTCTCTTGAAGTCCTATCCTCTATAGTCAGATGTCTRTTTATCTGAAAATACTACTTTCTATTTCCTTCTAAATATATAGACTTCAAGGAGAATTAAATTCTTCTACATAGGTCAAAATAAAAGATCTACATCTTTCAGTGATGTTAATGATCTTAATTTGGATCTTGATTTTGGACATACAGTTCATTATGACGATATAGCAATAACCTGATGTGGAAAAAAATACTGTTTTGCAATTACTGGAGATTGTCTCTAAATCTGAACGACATTTTACTGAATCAAAAAAATCAACACCTTCTCAAACCTGTCTCTTCCACAGCAAGCTGTGTGACAGCAGTCACTTGCAGCCTTTTTTATTGCTTTTTCTCTTGTCAGTGACAATGGCAGCATGTATGATTATAGTTAGCATCCACACTGTCAGGAGCTTTCCTTGTGTCCTCAACAAAAATAGAGTTTAATTAAGATGTCTTCGCTTCTCCATGTAACAGAGGCTACAAAAACTGTTCTGACATTAAGCCTTGACAGGCTGCATGTAGCTTTTGCTTCRGAAATCTTTGACACTTTATGTTTTAAATTCAAGGTATTTTTGGATTAGATAGAATAGAATGGCTTTACATCTCTTCTTCTTCGCCCAAAGGAAGATAATATTTAGAGGAACACTCTCTCATACAGAATAGCATCAAAGTTATTTTAACAACTGGAAGTTCTGGCTCTATCATCTATTATTTGTGTTTTACTATCACGTTTACCTCCTGTAGGTTCTACTTTTCAATATTTCAGTACTAAAAAATTTTCCCTGASGGTCCAGAATAAATCAGATACCTTTTTTCAGATTTCCAATACTCCACTGGTCACCATGGGCTTACTGTCAATTCTTGCTCTGTGATGATGATCAGTATTTGTAAGACTCTTCTCCTCCTTCTATTAAACTTTACTTGAAATACCAAAAAACCTCCTCATTAGTATTAGGATAAAAGCAAACCAACTCCTGCACTCACAGATTTCTTGTGAAGCTGTGAAGCAAAACATCAGAACATGTACCTAAAACACAGACACGTCACACCCACTCTAGACCTATCACTCATTTTGTTCTTAGGGCATTGGTCTGGGATGTAGGCCATTTTTTTCTGCTTTTCTGGCTTTCTGAGTACACCTGACAACATAGCTATTTAGATTTTTGTACTAGAACTGCTGTCTCCCCTGATGATGCCGTTCTACTTTGTGTGATAATTCAGCATCCAGTATGGCAGGGATATCCACAAGTCCATAGCTTAAATCAGTCTCTAGTCCTTCATTGATTTCTACACAGAAAAGCATTAATGATAAAATCACAACTCCAACTACTTACTATTCATAACATTTGTCAGGACTAGTCAGTATTTTGGAATTTCTTACCACTAAGTAAGGCAGCTCCAGATGAGATCAAATCATATGTAAAATGCATTTCCCTTTTATTAGATTCTTTATTTAAAGTATTTCCAATGCCTTCTAAAACTCCTTTCACAGTTTTCAAAAGCTTACTGCTTCTCATGCTATACTTCCAGCAGTACTTCAAGAGGTATGGTCAGTACAAAGAATCATACTGTACTCTTTTGACTGCCTCTGAGGCAAACCCACAAGTGTTGCATCCTGATTCCAG